TAAAACAGAATTTCTCTCATCCTCACTGGGAAATACATAGTTCAATATCCAGCAGCACCAGACACTAAGATACAACTCAGAAATCCTAGCAACACAGAAGAGTGTGTTGTACCAGTGAAAACAAGCTATTTATCATAAATTTGCAATGATGGGGTTTTTTTAGGTCTCAGTAGTTCCCTTTTGTGTTTTCTATTCCCCTTTCCTTTTTTTTTTAATGACCCTCGGGTAGAAGGAGAGGTTTTATTAGTTGTTTCCATTCCTCTAAGAACATAATTATATGTGGATAATTAAGTACTGGTTAATATACCTGCATGCATCTACATCACATGCAGCAAAGCACGCTACTGAAAGTTGCCAGTAACATTGTTCAAACTACTTAGCACTTTATATACACCAAAATTATAAAAGATCCCTTAAGCCAAGCAATTCCAGGGGTATTGGGGAAAACACTGATATTCAACTTTCACAAAAGAATTCTTAAAATTCAAGATACATATATCTTATCTCAAATAGACACCATATACTAGAAGGTAAATTCTACCTTTCCCCTATTACTAAAAAAAACAAAGTAAATTGTGTGGCTTTGCCTTCTTATACTGTTGAAACTGTGTTCAAAGTGACCTACTGGACCACTGGTTTTATGATGGTAATTTTTATGTAGTGGAAGCAAAGAAAAAGACTTGTAAGAGAACCCCAAAAGTGATCTAACACCAAAAATGGCTCAATCATGTTTCTGGGCCCCTTAGGCCAAGTTTCTGCAACTTCTCTGTTTTAACCATACATATATACCATTCAAAAAGCTACAAAGCAGCCTAAGACAGACACTGCAGCACATTTCATTTAAAGAACAAAATAAACTACAAGAGAAAACACTGTTTTCAAACAAACTCAAGAGATTTCACTAACATTTTGCCATAAATAAACTGCCCAAGTTATGCTGCACCTTATTTTAAATGTTGATTTTGTGACTCATACCTAACTGTGAGCTGAAGTTACAATTGGTTCTGCTAATCTATACCTTTATATCTAAAGACTAATACAATAGAGTGTGTACTGTGCCTGCAGAGTATACAGGCACAAAGGCTTGTGTAATTCTGAAAGAGTTCAAAGTCAGGTATCCTGTAAAAATATTCCAATCTTAGACAAAACACACAGAAAAGTAATTTTTTAAAAAGTGCAGATTAATGAAATTTTCAAAACTAGTGCTATTTAATACTACATGGCTTAAAATCAGACAACTTTACAGACAAGTATAACTTAGCTTCAAGATCTTTGTAAAGTTAATGAGTACAAGATGCACCACATACAAACAAAACAGGTAAATTGTTGGGCTTTTTCAATTCTTTCCAGTTTGCACTGCTCTCACAGTAATTTTGTTACAAACTTTTTGTTATGAACTTGCCCTTTCCAAACAGATATTAATGCCTGCCTAGAAGGCATGCAAATGAAGAACTCTATGTTCCAGTAAGTAAAAACATTTACAGTATTAAGAAACTCTAGAAATGTGAACAAATAAAATAGACCATTCTAATCTTAAAAAGCCATTTTAATTTAATATAGAATTATGGCAAATCTTTCATAATTATGTTCAGACTTTTATAAAAAAAATTCCCTAGGATATTTTGGAGATGTGTATTGGCCATTATGTCTAGATTTTTACCCAGTATTATTAATCTTTCTTTAAAGATTTCCCTGCACTGCTAAACACCAAGAAGGCATGTACTTCTGTTACCTGCTAGTGAGGTGTGCTTCCTAATGCCCAGAAATGTTGAAGGTGGCCATTCTTCTCTCAAAGAAAAAAATTACCAGGAATTTCTGAAGTAAAATACCTTCCACGAACTTTCTATATATCCCGAATACTGTACTTCATGTGTTTACTAAGATTTTAAGGCATAACTGCCTGCCTAGAACTGAACAGTGAAAACAACCCTCACAACTGGTTAATGAATCATTTTGAATTAATTCTGTGCCAGCACCGTTTAGTTCAGAAAACAAAGAGGCGCTGAAAGTGTGCCAATAATGAAGACTGAAATATTTCAATAGTTTACAAGAATTTGTGAAGGAAAACTCAGCCTTTAGTGTAACCACCCCTCATACAAATAACGGGATAGCTTCTGACCATGTACATCCCCTTGCTTTTTATCCCACAGCTTAACCACAAGTACAACCTACTGGAGTTTTCTTATACTTGGATGCTACTTTTTGAGAACTTGTAAAAGACCAGGATGCAGGGTTAGTTTCTTTGTTAATAAGCCCATGCGTACTCTCGATGTGCACAGATGCAGAGCCCAGATAGACCGGAGAGGTGCCAAACGAAACAGAGGAAGTCGGTCTTTATCAGCTGTTCCACCCCATACTTCTCTAGAAACACCCTCGCAAGTCCACCCTTTCCCATGTCTGTTCTTTGTACAAAACCGAAACTATTTCCCTGCTATGACTCGACCAATTAAACATTACCAGGCGCGGTGGAGAAACCACCCTCCCGGCTCCCTAAAGCTGGAAAACAACTCACAACGGGATAACGGGATAACGAGACAGTTACACGTCCCCCACAGACACAGCCGTGCTTCCCTCCGGCCTGAGAGACGGGGGACCCTCGCTGAAGGCACGGCCACACTTAAATACAAGACGAGCCGGTTTTTTTCCCGAAGCCGAACTTTCCGCCCGCACGGGCTTCCTGGTGTCGGGGACGGGGAAGCAGCCGCCGGGAAGGGACCGGGCAGCGGCCACCGGGTCCGCGCGGGGAGTCCCGGGGGAGGGAAGCACCGCCGAGGGCCGTAGGGAGAAGGGCCGGGGTAGAGAGGAGAGTAGGGGAGAGAGGAGAGGGAGCCCGGCGGGGAAGGTCCCGGGGAAGGCCGGGGGCGCCGGGCGGGCCCCGCGGCGAGGCCGGGGCGGGATGAGCGGCGAGCGGAGCGGGGACAGCCCGGCCCAGCCGCGGCCCTGCCGCCGGGGCGCCCCGGACAGCGGGGCCCGCCGCCCCCGGCCCCGGAGAGCGGGGCGAGGGAGAGAGCGAAGGAAAAAAGAAGAGAGGGAGGGAGACGGCCCCGAGCCAGGGCCCCGCGAGGCCGGGCGGCTCCTCACCTCCGGCGCCCGCCGCGCAGGAGCACAGCAGGATTATCGTCCCCGCCAGATCCATCTCCGCCGGCCGCAGGCCCCGCCGCCGCCGCCACCACCGCCTACCCACGGCACATCCGCCCCAGCCGGCGCCGGGATGGGGAGGGGCGAGCCGGGCACCTCCCTCCGCTTTGTCCCCCGCCGCTCCAGAGGACTGCTCCCGCCCACGGGTCGGCCGCGGATCGGCCGGGCTGTGCTGGGCTGGGCCGGGCCGAGCTGTGCTGGGCAGCTCTCCCGCGGCGCTGTCCCCGCTCGCTCCGTTCCGTTCCACTCCGCTCCCCGAGCTCCCGATCCCGCCCCGCTCCCTCCGCCCGCGCGCGCGCCCGACGCGGCCGGGGGCGGAGCCGCGGGACACGCCCAGAGCGCGCGCCTCACCCCGCCCCCCGCGCGAAGGGAGGTGCCGGGCCCGGAAAGGGGCGGGGTTAGAGGGACCCGTCCATCCCGCTCGAAAGGGACACGCCTCCCGGGGGGCGGGGCCTCCCCGGCCGCTTCCGCCGCGCCCCGGGACGGGGAATTTGGGTCCTTCTGAAGTGTAAACAACTCGGATGGGCTGGTCTCCGTTATCTCCCTGACCACGTTCATGTCTTTCCTTGCAGAAACTAATTTGATATTAGTGTTTTATTTTGGTTTCCTTTCTCCCCTTACCACACAGACGCTTTTCCTTGCAGAAATTAATTTAGCGTTTTATTCTGTTTTCCTTAACCCGCTTATCAGATACACGTTTTTTTCCTCGCAGAAACTAATTTACTTAGAGTTTTATTTTAGCTCCCTGATTTTTCCCGAGGTGATGTCAGGTGTTTCAGTGTCCCCACTGAACAGGGACTTGTCACTTTGAGACTGTCCTGAACAACTTTCATGTATTCAGCTGTACAGGAGAACCCTCCCGTGCAAACACAGGCGTGACCCGTCCGGACAAAATGTTTCATCTCGTTTGTCCACATGATGGACAAACATGCCATCTCAAAGGCTTATTTTTTACATTAGGGTTTGTGACAAGTTTCTCATTTTACTATCAGCCTCTTCTGTTTGTGCTTTTCCACACGTATTGCCAAGTCAGAATAAAAAAAGCTTCCCGCCTAACACTGTTAGAGTGAGAAAAGCTGTTATATAAATGTACATAGAAAATACAATTACAGTGAATACGCTTAAGGTAAGGCTGCAGAAGCGGATGAAAGTGTTTACAAAGCCCAAACTAGAGAATAAAAAAAGAAAGGATAGATCCTTATCATCCCAAGACTGTATTTAGAATTTGCGATTAAATGCTGAAGGTTTCTACACAGGTAGGGGAGGGGTTCATCGGAATGAAGTCTGAGTAATACATCCGCGTTTGTTCTTCAGTCACAGAATCACAGAATGCCAAGGGGTTGGAATGGACTTTAAAGATCATCCAGTCCCAAAACCCTGCCATGAGAAGGGACACCTCCCACTAGACCAGGCTCCCCAAGGCCTTATCCCACCTGGCTATGAGCACTTCCAGGGATGGGGCATCCACAACTTCTCTGGGCAATCTGTGCCAGGGCCTCGCCACCCTCACAGGAAAAAACCTCTTCCTAATACGTAACCTCATCTTCCCCCCTCTCAAGCTGTCTATTCAACCTCCCAACTTATCTATCACACTCACTACAACCATATTTTTCATGGTAAGGCGAGAAGCCCCGAGCACCCCGGCAGGGCCGCACTCACCTGTTCCTGTTCCTGTTCCTGCCCTGCCCTGCCCTACCCTGCCGCTCCCCGCGGGCCCCGCCATGACTGCGGCCGCTCCCCCGTCCCTCCCTCACGTCCCGCCGGGGCGGGGCCGGCGCCGCCGCTGTGATGGCGTCGCGGGCGCTGCGCGCGGAGGCGCAGCCGCTGCGGTGCCGATAGAGAGCGGAGCGGCCGGGCCGGGCATGGAGAGCCTGGCGCAGCCCCCGCCGCCCCCGGGCTCGCTGCAGACGGGCGGCGGGGGCGCTGCCGGCCGGCTCCGCCTGGGAGAGGCGGCGGCGGGCGGCGAGGGCGGCTGCGGGGAGGCCGAGGAGGGCGGCGGGCGGCGCAGCCCTTCCCCTCCGCCAGCCCCCGCTCCCGCCGCGGCCGCTCGCACCGCGTCCCCCGCCCGGGCCGCGGAGGGCGGCGCGGGGCTGGCGGTGCCCGCGAGCCCCGGGACGGCGCCCGGCTCGGAGAGCGGTCCCGCGGGAGCCGGCTCCGGGAGCAGCGGCGCTCCCAGCCCGCCGGGGGAGGAGTCCCGCAGCTTGGACTCGCTGGAGTCCTTCTCCAACCTGCACTCCTGCTGCCCGAGCAGCTCCGAGCTCAACAGCGACGCCGACGAGGCGGTGGTGGCCGGGGCCTCCTCGGGGGCCCCGGCGGCGGAGCCCGAAGAGGACAGGCCGGCGGCGGGCTCGCAGCTCCTGTCCGCCTCCAAGGAGCGCTTCCCGGGGCAGTCGGTCTATCACATCAAGTGGGTGCGCTGGAAGGAGGAGAACACTCCCGTCATCACCCAGAACGAGAACGGCCCCTGCCCGTTGCTGGCCATCATGAACGTGCTGCTCCTGGCCTGGAAGGTACCGGCGGGCGGGCGGGTGCCATGGCGGGGCAGGGCCGGGCCGGGCGGGAGCGCTCCCGGACACTTGGTGCTGTTGGGACAACGACGTCCTCGAGAAGGCTGGAGAGGGACTTTTGGCAAGGGTGTGTGGCGATAGGACAAGGGGGAACGGCTTCAAACTGAAGTAGGGCACCGTTAGAATAGATGTTAAGAAGAAATTGTTCCCTGTGAGAGTGGCGAGGTCCTGGCACAGCCTGCCCAGAGAAACTGTGGCTGCCCCATCCCTGGAAGTGTTCAAGGCCGCGTTGGACGGGGCTCTGATCTGGTGGAAGGTGTCCCTGTCCATGACTAGAGGTGTTGGAACTAGACGATCTTTAGGGTCCCTTCCAACCCAAACCATCCCGTGGTTCTTTCAAGAACGTGCAGCTTTTTATTTGCTGTTAGGTACATGTCTCACATGTAGGACTTGGAAGATAAATACGGGCTTGCAGTCTAGTGCTGTTATACTACTTAGGTGCTGCTCTCATATATAGACTTACTTTGTTGCTGTCTTAAAACAGAAATAAAAATTCAGATGATGCTTCCTAAACTGAGCAGTATATGGTTTGCAGATGTGTGCAGATGCGTGCAGGTTCCTAGTAAGTACACATTACTATTTATAGCTCTGAAAAGCTGATATTTTTGGAAAATAGGTTAGTTTCATATAATGAAGTGTATGCAGAGTTGTACAAAATGCAGAATTGTACCAAAGGCAGATTTGTACAAGTAACTGCCTGAATAAAAGGGATACATTTGTGCAGTTAAGCAGCATAGATTACATTTAAATTAATGAGTAAATCAGGTAGTGATCAAGTACAGCTCTGAAACTTCTTGGAAGTTCTTGTGGTCAGTAGCCATTGTGGATGTGGACTTCTTAAAATAATTATAATAATACATTATAATAATGTGGACATCTTAATTTATCTTTTAAGCAACTAAAATGTAAGGTATAGTGTAGTTATTAAGATGTAGATGTGAAAAGGATATCTGTTGGAGAAGAGCTATGAGGTTGTGTGCACTGCAAAACAAGGATGAGGGGCAGTTTTCAGGAAATGCTGGCAATTTAGCCTCAGGAGGTTGGGGGCTGATAGAGTGGAGTCATAGAATAGAAAAGCTTCATAGGAAGACCTTTTATGTTGCAGTAGCCAGGGTATTGGAGGAGGTTGTTCACCGGGTATAACAGGTGTCTTAGGAAAAGGTCAAAATGGAAATAATGTTACAAGAGGAAATGTGTTTAGAGGCAGGTAGCTTTCCAGAAGATTAATGCTCTTGATTGAGTTACAGTTTCTGCACATTTTCCTGAGCAGAATAGCTCATACAGCTGAGGAAAACTGTGGGTACAGTGATGTTGGTATTTAAGCATCAGTGAAAGCACTACAGGGAAGCTGTGTGTGACTTTCTGTAGGTTCTGCCATCCTCACGAGGGTGTGAAGGTTGTCATGACTTCAGTATTGAACACTCACTCTCTGTGCTCCCTCTTTAATGTCTCGAGGTGACTGGAGGGCCTTGAAGAATTTATCATTTCTTATTATTTTGTGTGGTGGCATTTTGAGAGCAACTGCCTTGTTACAGGATTTTCCTTTTTATTCTTTGATTTAATTAAAGCACGTAAATGGGACAGCACTGGTCCTGTTGCTTGAATTTAAGTTTTTGGAGGTTTTGTTTCTTAGCATTCTTCCTTTGCCTCCTTAAAAGCAATTGCGTTCCGCTGCCCTCCATCCAGTATTTTAGCTGACATCTAGCTTTGATCAAATACTACTTTAGTGAGAATTAAGGGGATATCCAGTTTTATAAATAAGTGAAATACAAAATGCCTCTTAGGAGTGCCCTACTGCTTCTTATTGCTAAGATTACAGGAAGGGTTTTCTATAGTTCTGTCTGTTTATGTAAAACCTCAGCGGAATTTACGTGAGTTGCAGACAGGCAGCTAAACAGGTGAAACTGTCATCACATGACTTATTATTTGTAGGCTTGATGGGTTTCCTGATAGTTGGTCGTATATTGTCCTTGCTTGTAATTGATTTTTCCTAATCAGTGCCTCTCAAAATTAGCCTTTTTTGCCAGTTTATAATCAAGAACCCTGCTGACATTGGTTGGAGTGTCAGGCTTATTGGCAGCTCATCTGTAGTCACTGACAGTGGCTCACTCCATGTGAAGGCTGGTGAGGCACTACATGAGCATGGACATCCACCTTCTTCTTGCTCCTCCTGAACCAAGGTGAACACTAGATCGGGTCAAGTAATTATAATTTGGGAACAAGGAAGCAGAGCAAAAGATGGAAATAGGCAAAAGCAGAGTGAGAATATCACAGGATGTATCGGGTGAAAAGAAGCTGTGTGTAAGGGGAAAAATGCACTAAGGAAGAGATAAGGAGGGGAAACAGAATCACCACAGGGAGTAAAAAGTTAAACAGTTGTGCTTTGGGCTCTCTTCCTTGTATCAGCCATCATCTTTCCTTCTCAGAACTCTGTCCTGACAAGGTTTAGAGTTCTGGTCATCCTGTGGGTAGATGTGGTCTCAGGTAATATCAGTGCAGTACTGGTTTGGCAGTGGGGTTTTTGGAAATTCTGAAATGGCAGCACCCTCTGGGACTGTTCAACACCTTTTTGATAACACCAGGTTTTGGAACTAAACTTGTGACAAAACTGCTACCTCTCTTTTATCCACTGCTTTCAAAGGGTACATAAGACCTTGAGGTGGCAGATTGCAGAAGCCATGCTTTTAAATATTAAAATTGTGAAATTGCTTTTCTTTTGAAGTGTTTTTGTAGTCTGCCTGTGTAAGTGTAACTTGTAGTTCAGCCTGTAGGAGATAGGACATTCCTGTAACACTTTCATAGCAGAACTCCTCTGCTCTAAGAAGAAAACAAAAACAGTATGATACCAACTTGGCAGAGTAGCTGTTGTGCAAAACAGTGGGGTACCCTTTTAGACTGGTGTGATGGAAATGAAAGCAGAAGTAGAGTATTGAGAGAAACATTTTAGAATGTATATACAAGCATGAGTTGTCTCCTCTGATGCAGAGTAGTGTAGCACACTGTGTTTTAGCTTATTTAAATCTGAGGACTGCTCAGTTCTTGCGCAGGTCTGTGGTGTGCTGTGTAGTTGGGCTTAGCGATTCAAAGCCTGCTTTTCTAAGTACTTTTTGTGATCTTTGTTAGGTGCAGTTCATGCAACACTTTATGATCATTTCTGGCACTGCATTAAGCTCTGAGTTTGTGTGGGGGTAGCCCTTCTCAGGATGTACTCCATGGCAATCATCAGATGCTAAAAGCTTAATAAGGGTGCTGTGGGATTCCGCTCTATATGTCTTAGGTAGAATGTGATGTCACGTAGTTAAAGAACTCTGTGAAACTTAACACGTTGCACAGGAGTTACATATCTGAAATGTCTTAAGAAGAGAGAAACAAATCATTTTGAAACATAAAATAAGGCAAAGGGAAAACGCAATGCAATTCAAATATAAATAATAATACTGTCTTGAGAAGTGAGTGCAAGTGGAATATCTTGTCCTTACGGAGGAGAATAATAACAGTAGCATATTTGCCGGTGTGTTTGGAAGCTTTTTCTGTCACTGTCCCCTCAACAAATGGGAGGAGCTGTGTTCCCTACATACCAAGTTCTATTAAAATTTTGGTAACTTTTAGAACTATGTGAATTACCTATTTAGGTGATTGTAACAATTATGTAAGTAAATGTTATATAACCACTCACGTAAGTGTATCCAAACTGAGGTGCAGAAAAGAGGTAGAGTAAAAGATTCTGGTTAGAAATTTGTAGTTTCAGGTTCTCATAAAAATGGCCTCTTTTCAGAGGAGCTGAGTGCAGTGTGCTCCTGCTGAGACCCACTTCATTTGTGGGAGCCTGCAGTGGTGGTGCCTGCCCTGAGCTCTGGCACTGGCCCTTCACACGTGATCTGCTCGTTCTGGTTGCTGGGCTGGAGCTCCGGATGGCCTCGGCTTGCACAGATTGCTCGGATGGGCTCGCCCAGGCTCCGGAGGAGCTGCCGGTGAGCTGCTGATGGATGCTCAGAGGGGGCCTTGGCAGCCTCCTCCCGGCATCTGTGGGATGAGCTGAGCCCACAAATCAGTAGGATTGGAACTGTGCCTTCTCCAGAACAGGAAACCTGCTCTGAGGGGCCGAAGGAAACCTGGCTGAGTGGGGTGTTCAGGATATCAGTGGCAGCACACACTGTCAGGCTGTCGTGTGACAAGTTTATGAAGCTGTTCCTGCAAGGCAGGGGTGCATATTTGCTGAGAGTATTAATTGTTTTTTTGCCAAGGCTGCTTGAAGCCACCCTTACCTCTCCTGGAACACTGAATTCAGAGGAGTTGCATGTTTTGGATAAACATGTTTTGAGACTCTAATATAAGCCTCATATAAGGCTTATTATATAAACCATTAGAAGTTTGCTTGGTCCTTTTCTATATGCATAGTATATTTGGAAGTGTTATCTTCTGTGCAGGACTATATCACCTAATTTTTTTTAAGCTGTTCTGAAATGTGGGAGAATATGTGGAAAATCAGTATTACATAGATTTTGGGTGTGTAGTCTAGTTCATAGAAACTGTATAAGTTGTATTAGACAATCTGTTCCAACTGCAAATTTGTTTACCAGTCTTGTCTTTTGATTAAAAAGGTGTCTCAGCTGTGTGTCACATGGGAGTTGGGTGAGGAGGATTAAGATTCCCACTCCTGAGTGTAGGAAGTGAAAAGTAACTAGAGTTAGGAGGAGACACCAGGGCGAAAGACCAGGAAACTGCAGTAGAGGGGTACAGGAAATGGGTGGGGATTGAGGAAATGCATTTTTCCTAAAATGTGAAATTAATGTAAAGTCTAGCAAATAAACATTGAAACCTACTGAGAAAATGTGCCCCTCAAAATAATAGATTATGGGCAACAGCAGCTTTCACTACTGTTGCTTACCTTGCTTTTTTTCTGTTGTCTGGAGAATTATTATGGTACTCTATGATTTTTTCACAGTCCCTTGAGCTTTAAGGAGTTTTTCTTTCCCATTTCCTCTTCACTGTATGCTTCCTGTAGTCTTAAGTACTCCCAGTGAAGCTCTCAACAGTTGGGAAATGTCATGTTCTCTCTCCATCCTTAAGTCAGCTCTGTTCAGAAGTACTTACAACTGTGTGGAAACCCCATTAACCCACTTTAAAGGTGTGATCAAGGTCCCATGACACATGCCAGCCCTAAAATTATGCCATGAAATAAGCAATTAACTTTGTTTAGCATTTAATCAAGCAGTTAATTTTGAGACTGGCTTGTTAAAATATCCAACTTTTAGAGAGATCCCACAGATATGAGAAAGCACTTTGCTTTGCTTCTGCAGAAAAAAATTGATTCTTAGCATTACAGTTGTGAGGCAAAATTCCAATTGTTAACCAATGCTATTTCCCTTCCTGTTATAGTGGCACATCTGTGCTGTTTGTAGTCCCAGCACCACTTGAGGCACGGCTGGTGAGGGTGATGCTGTTCTGGGCTGTGCCGTGCTGTGCCTGAGGAGCTGAACTGAGCCAGATCCAGCTCAGGGCTGTTCACAGCTTAGTGTTTGCTAAGAGTGCTGCCAATCCAAACTGGAAGTTTAAAAAGCAACTTTTTGAATCTGTAGTCCTGTGGTTTACATGGCTCAATATATTATTTTTATGTGAATACTTGGTATGATTATGAACATGATCAAAGATTATGAAAATCTTTAGCCTATTGAGTATTAGTTGTGGGAAGAGGTTAAGAAATTTTTTTTGAATTACAATCAGCTGTCACTCAATTAATACATTTTTTTTAAAAAACATTTGCCTATGCATGCATGACTGATTTTTCTGCTTGTCTAATTCATATAATTTTAAAATTGGGGTGTTTTTCTATAAGTAGAACTAATTAAGCCTTCTTAGTAATTTATGCCTCACTAATTTCCTGCTTTACAAACAATTACTTTCTTTCTCTTCCTTTCCCATGTCCCAATACTATCAGCTTCTTTCTATGCTCACCATGGATGGGTTGATCAATGTGTGGTTTATGCTGAGTGGCCTGTTCTGCCCCAAGTATGGGCATATTTCTTAGCCAGAGTATAAGTAACAAAGCCATATTAACTTGGATCTCTTTCTTCTTCCAGATTTAATGAAACTTCATCTATTTAACCCATTTGCCTTTTGTCAAATATGATTAAAATTGGTGAGACAGATTTAGCCCAATCACACTTCATTTTCCCTCTCAAGTTATTAAAATACCTTAGTTTTCAAATTGAAAACACTCTTCATTACAATGTGGACAGTGCAGTGTGCTGCTGTACTGCATTTCAGAGTTTGGGATGCTGCATCAAAGGCTTTATGTGTATTGGTCTTCTGTCTCATGGTTCTCTACTTCCTCTCCACAATCAGAAAGTAGTCAGAGCTTATTAAATCTTAAACATGAATTAAGAGTCTCACGTCATATCTTTCTATTTCAAGATGTCATGTATTTCTATGTGTCAAGGAAAGTGTTGAGGAACTTGATAAAAAATTCCCAATTAAATAAATACTAGACTTCCTAGACTTTCAGTGGTAAGATGTTGGAGAGTGATAGGATGAGAAGGTTAAAAACTGAAGAGAAAGATTAAAAATTAACCCCCCCCCCAAAAAAAACAACCCCAAACCCTAGAAAAATAAAATTCATATTTATGCAGATTAAAATTGAGTGCACTGTGGTTCAAGACAATATCCTTCCTTCAGGTTGCCAAAGTGTCTTTGTGTGTGCTGGAGCTTTGGCTGTTATTGCAGCGAGATCTGTAAATAGAAATGTGCAACCAAAACATGTGCCATGGGTGACGGATGGAGGAGTTTTAAGAAGCTTTCAGTGTTAGCTCTGCTGCCAAGGTGTTTGGTTTAGCTGATGATGGTGGGAATAGGTCAGGCAAGGGGGGAATGGAAGCTTCACCACCGAGTTCATGTGTCTGCTCTGCTCTGTGTGGAGTTAAACCAAACCCTTGAAATGTGAGCACAGGATGAGGGGCTGGGAGGTCATTTCCTTGTACCCGAACCAGTCTTTGGCTTCCCTGGCTCCGCAGCTCCTGCCACCATATCCTTTACAAACTTTGTATGCAGGAAGCTTTTGAGTTAGTACTCAGTTAAGAATTATAATGCAGGAGGGAGTCGAAGACTTTCCTGAGGAAAGTGAAATTTTCTTGACTCCACGTGGCCACAGTTCCCAGTCTGTTAATTCTGGGTGCTTGCAGTCAAGCCACTGCAGTGAGTGGTGTGAGCTCCTGGGAAGCGGAGGGGGAGGCTGGAGAAGTGTTTTGGTGGGAGCATGGAGCACTGTGCAGAGAGCTGTAGGTGAGACAAAGTGCTGTGTGTGCATGTGGTTTTTCTGAAAACCAAAGTGCCTTTTTTTAATCTGTTCTTGTAGCTGTTGTTTAGCAGAGGTCTTGGGAATGTTCTCAGTCCCAATACACTAATGGCCTTATAAATTGGTGAGGCAAATGTAATTGCACATCTTCCATCTAGAAATGCCATGTGGATGCTTTCTAAATTGTGGTGTTTTGGCATTTTAAAGAAAATATACTTTTACTTTCACAGATTAAGTTGCCACCAATGATGGAAATCATTACGGCTGAACAGCTGATGGAATATTTGGGTTAGTAATTACAATAAATTGCTTTGATTTGTATATTATACTTTATAGTGAGCAAAAATGTAGAATTGTTTATTTACTGGTTTATTCAGCTTTACTTGAACTCACTATCCAAGAAAACTACTTAAAATATTCAGTTATTCCAGGAGTTTTCTGTCCTGCTTTCCTAAGTGGTTACTCTAGTGATGCAGTTGCTATGGCTGAGTACCCCAACACACTGGTAGATTTAAACTTACTTAGGTCTCTTATATTGTTGTTTTGTTATAGTTGACAGAATGTACTAAGTCAACTGTGTCTTTAATATTCTGCAGTAACTCTAATCCTTGGAAATATGACCCAATTAAAATATCAGGGAAAATTAATGTAATCAGTGATTGGGGTCTCATTTGCAGGCACTACTCTGCTATCATAGTCAGTGTTCAGCAAAATTGCACCTATTTCCATCTGACAGGGCTGTAACTTCAATACACCCTGTGATCCAGGTGTTAAAAGTGCAGCTGTGATAGTATCTAAGCTGCAGGTACCTCAGTTCTTTCCCTTTGTAGCCTGAAAAATATAAAATGTTTGAACTTAATAGACTAGGTTTGATTTTTCTTAAGCGGGAGAAAAAAACCTTACTATATTTTCCTTCTCTCTTTGTAAATAATGTAGCTTGTTCTTTTCAGAAGCAAATCACTGAAACTTCTGGTGGAAGAAAAAAGTTAACTACATAATTTAAAAAAAAAATGAAATCTTTTGGCCTGTGTCTAAACATTTCATGTAGTTGTGTTGATAGAATAAAACTGTCTGAAGTCACTGCATAATTCCAGTGTGTATTCTTTCTTGAAGGCATATATTAGCTTCTGGAATTAGGTTATTAAATTGAATAACAAAATTATGTGCTCAAATTATTTAGATTCCTCTTCAGTCAACAGGATTAGCAGTTGCCTCATGGTTCTTCTTCAGCTGAAAAAACCAGAAAACCCAAACTAACAAAACAGACTCCAACCACTTTTAACCTAAAAGATTATAAATTAGGAAACCTATAATGATATTTTTATTTGAGTAGAAACATTTTTTCTTTTTTTACTTGTGGAGCACTAAATACAAAAAACATTGCAATAAAATCTGGAAGATGGATATTAGCCTCTAAAGATGTTGTAAATCTTGAACCCCAATGAGTTGATTAACTGATTGATCACCTTTGTGTTGTAGACAAAGATGGAATGCAGGTGCTGTGGTTCAACCCCAGGCAGCAGCCAGGCTCCAGCAGCCACTCACCCACTTCCCCACTTCCCCACCAGTGGGATCGGGGAGAGAACTGGGAGCCAGACAGCATGTGGGTTGAGATGAAGTTTAATAGGGAAAGCAAAGCAAAACCAGGAATTAATTCACTGCTTCCCATGGGCAACTGTTCAGCCTCTGCAGGAGAGCAGGACCCCATCATATGTAATGGTGGCTTGGGAAGACAAACACCATCACCGCAAATGGCTTCCCCCTTCCTCCTTCTTCCCCCCACTTAATATACTGGGTGTGATGCCATATGGTCTGGAATATCCCTTTGGTCAGTTGAGGTCACCTGTCCCAGCTGTGTCTCCTCCCAACCTCCCATGAATCCCTAATTTCCTTGCCAGTGTGGCAGGAGAAAACAGCGAAGCCCTTGGCTCTGTGTAAGCCCTGCTCAGCAATAACAAAAACATCTCCATTATCATCCCTGTGTTCAGCACAAATCCAAAACAGCCCCATTCCAGCCACTGGGAAGAAAGTTAATTCTACACCAGGCAAAACCAGCATGACAAGTTTTGTAGAATTATTGGTGTCAGAAACATACACCAAAACATTCCTAGTATCACTCAGGAGAAGTGGTTGCCTTTTTAAATTGTGTTATTGAATTACATATTTTACCATGAACTCATTAAATTGGTAGAAAATTTCAGTCAGCTTCACTCAGAAGTGTTCATAGAACTGTTGAATCTTTGAGTGTGGAATTAATTAATTTTTTTTTTTTTTTAGGAGACTATATTCTTGATGCAAAACCTAAAGAGATATCTGAAATTCAGAGACTTAACTATGAGCAGGTAAGGAGCTGCTACTAAAATACACTTGCTTATGTCTGAGGAAACTAAAACTTTGTCTCACCTAGAGTTTATCACCTTGTTAAAAAACAGAAGCATATAAACCATTGTTTGTAGTTTCTTGGTTTATGTATATTTTATTTATATATTAGTGCTCAGTATCTGTTAACACAAGAAATTAATTTTTTTTTTTTGGCGTGGTATGAATGTAGGAATTTAGGGTTTATTGAGGAACTGTAACACAGAGGTACAAATAAAAGTATATAGCAGGGTGGTTGCTTTTTGAAGTCTTATAATAAGTCTTCAGTGTGGTCTGCTCTGTGGTGCCTGCTGGAGTTTCTCTGAGCGTGTAAACTGAGCAAGAGAAAGGTCTCTGTTCTTAATGGTGATGGGCAAAAAGAGGTTAATTCCACATCATGAAAGGCAATATTATTTACACTGACCACTGTTTATCATCAGGGAAGTCTTTCTATGCTAAAGATAATGCTATTAGTTTAAAAAATATTGATGCAGTGCATACTGTCTTGGAGCGAGTTTTTGAAGCTCTGTAGTCGTGGTTGGTTTTTTGGTTACTCATGGAAAAGTGATTTGAGTTTTTTATAAGTGTTAGGTTTTAAGCTAGTTCTGTTTACTATTAGGTCCTTTTTGCTTGCTCTTATTCAGTGTTGAAAAACAAATGGAGTAACTTGGAATTGATTTATGTCAAATTACAGGAATCACTTTCATAATAACAAAATTGGCTATTTTTTTTGCTCACAGTTCTGGGCTGCAGAAGGTTTATAGCTGTAATCAGCGTATAGGAGGGTGATGAAAACTACATGCCTGGTGAAAGCACAACCTCTGTAGCTTTCTTGTGCTCAAAATATGGGTTTATTACATATATGTCTCATACCTTAAATATTTCACTTTAATTTTAAAAAAGCCTTCTGTTCTGGGAATCTTCTAAGTTGCTTTGAAGGTGCAGAAATAGCTAAAGTAGAAATGATACTGTTGAAATTATAGTGAGAAACTTCTGTGGTTTTCTGGTCAGTTTTATGTAATCCTGCTTCATTTGCAAAGTAAACATTACAAAAGAAATGCAACTATTGTCTGTAGATGTATGATCTGAATTTGTGATGATCAGTGCTGACTTACTATAGACTTCCTATTCTTTTAGCAGAGTAAGAGTGTGGCAAAATTTCTTTCAAAACACTTCTGATAGTGGGGTTTCTTTCCTGCTTGATATCTGGTCCCTACTAATGACATCTGCTTGTTCAGGTGGCTTGGTTTGCTATTATAACGATAAAAACTTTTTTTAAAAAGGTCTGAGCTAGTCTGGAGAGTTACTTACAAGTCTTGTTAAATTCTAAATCTTGTGACAGCAAAATTGTCAGTAGGATGAAGCAACATACAGTAGAGAGAGCTTTTACCTTCCTGGTAAGAGAACACTGACAGAAAGATGCAGTTCAAGGGCTGCAAGGGTTAAAACACTCTCATTCATTGTAACCACGCTCAAGTGCAGATACTGGAGCAGAAGACAACAGAGGCAACTGTCTCTGACCATCAGTGGGTTTGGTCTGTGAATCTTTTCTGTCTCCATCACCTGTCCAAACTGTATTTCTGGGTTTTGTCATGTTTTTTTTCTCAGTGTTGCAAGCCTGAATTCCTCTTAAGCAACAGAATGTTGCAAAACCCAAACAAACAACAAACAAAAAGTGCCTCAGTTTCCTTGCATTTTTTGCACATACTTTCTAATCATACTCTTTGTGGACTCTTCTCACTTGGTGGAAAATTCTTTCTCTGGCATGTCAGGAAGTTTTTTGTCTGTCGGTTCAAGAGAGCTGTCTCACAAAGCACTTTTCCTTTGGCTCCTCTTTGCTTTGTGTGATTGGCTCTTCATAACTGGATAATTCTCCTTAGGATTCCATTGGGATTAATGCTATAATAAGTGCTACTTTCATGACTTGTTTCCACAGTAGAATCTACAGGCCATTTAAAGGTGTGCTCAAAACTTTTCTTATGAAACAGAAAAAAATCAGGCTGTTCATTGTTCATCACTTTACGTACTGATCCCTGAAATTAGAATTGGCAGGTAGATCTGTGTAGATCTTTGTTTTGTTCACTCATTATGTAATGGCAAGTACTTCAGCTTGACTTATAAGGCAGGACTTTAAAGGGGAGAAGGAAGCTCAAGAAAAGTCCCTTGGAGCTTCCCTTTTAATTCGGTTTTCTTGCCAACATCAGGCTTGTGCCTGTGGGAAATAGAGCTAAAAGCAACTGGAGCTGCCTAAAAGCAGCTTATAGGTGTAGAAAAAAACACCAGTCAATCCAGTTGACTGGGGAGAGAATTCTTATTTTTCAGATATCTTCTGGCACAATGAGCATGAATTATGTAAATAAGCATTGAAACAACTGTTAAGATGATTTCCCCTTTCACACAATTTTTTTGAAGTGTTGAATTGATCACTACTACATGATCAGGAGTTGCAAGAGTAACCCTCAAGTGTGCAAAGCTCTATTTGGTCATGTGTTTTTTTCTCTTTCTGCTGTCAGAACATGAGTGATGCCATGGCAATTCTCCATAAGCTGCAGACGGGTCTGGATGTCAATGTCAAGTTTACGGGTGTTCGAGTGTTTGAATACACACCTGAGTGCATAGTGTTTGATCTTCTTGATATCCCCTTGTACCATGGATGGTTGGTGGATCCTCAGGTAACTTCTGTTTTTTTAATAATTCAGAGTGTAAGTTATTTGGACTATTATTCATGGGAGGGGAATGTTTTAGATTTTTAATGAGTCAATAATGATTATGGTAATGGATTTTTTAAATCTAGTGAGAAAAATTGAGGAGTGCATACAGACTGTGTGTGTTTTTTGGTGCAGGAATTTTGCAGAGCCCAGGTCTATAGTCAAACTACTTTAAAAGCTTTCTATGGCTGTAAATGAGAATTGTTTTTCTGAGGGAGATAAGTCACCAGACATAGTGTCCCAATTGTAGGTTTTGGAGGCTTATTAGAGAACACTTGGGAGGAATGCAAGGTTACTTTCCTCCTTTCTTTAATTCTGATTTACTAGGCACTGCTTTTGAGAAATGAGGATGGTAGAATTGATTGGAGAAAACCGCATCTTTAACAAACACATATATTTATTTTTAATTATATTATTTAATAAACAGGAAAGCGGAACTGTTTAACTAGGGGAATACTGGTGAGTTTGGCTAGAATAATCTGCCTCAGATTTTTTTCTTCATGCCTTGTTGGTGAAAGTTGTTCTCTTACCCCTTGGAGTCCCCCCTGGCCCCACTGATTCAAATGATGCCCTGTTCTCTCCTCCATCTATTTTAGCAACAGCTTTTGATGCTAAGGGTTACCTTAAAGATTTAAAATGGGATCTGAGACAGCAAAATATGTAACACTCTGGGCTAAAACTTTTGGTCTAGTAAATACCAGACCATCCTCTCTTTGAACTCTTATTTTCTTACGAATAATTGCTATAGGCTTGCAGTTGTGCTCTGTCCTTCACAGAGGTAAGTTCTGTGTGCTGTTCCTTCCTGCTCCAGGTTGCTGACATAGTAAAAGCAGTTGGTAACTGCAGTTACAATCAGCTGGTGGAGAAGATCATTTCTTGTAAACAGTCAGACAACAGTGAACTGGTTAGTGAAGGTGGGTAACCTTTTTTATGCTTTATTAAAGTACCCTAACAGATCCAAGGTACATATTTTTCTTGTGGGTCTTGCTATGTAGAGATACAAGTGGGAAGAGCTGCATTCTGCCTGCTGAGCTGCTTTCCCTGGGCTGGCAGACAGCACTGTGCTTGTCCTCTGAACTTCTCTGATGGGATTTCTGAAACAAGAATCAGCTGCATTCCCTTAACCGTGAGAGAACTTCCCTTTATGAAAAGGTGGTGTGAGCAGCATTCAGGTTTCAGCTCAGCTCTGCATTATCTCCTACAATTACAATATGAATTATGTAGTGTGTGGCAACAAGGAAAAAAATCAGTAGTATTAGAGGTGGATACAGCACTTCTGAACATGAGAGGGTTCTCTACAATGCTGTGGTTTTGGAACTTTCAGCTTGTTTTCTCCTCTCTGAACGTGTTCCTTTAGATTTATGGCAGTCTGGGGGCATCTTAGTAGGGGGGAGATCGGAGATAGGAAAAATACTACTATTGCAATCAGCTTTTATATTAGCACGTGTGTGACAGTTACACATAACATTGTGCATTGCTTTTGTAGGGTTTGTTGCTGAGCAGTTTCTAAATAACACAGCTACACAATTGACATACCATGGACTGTGTGAGTTGACTTCAGCTGTCCAGGAGGGAGAGCTTTGTGTGTTCTTCAGGAACAACCATTTTAGCACCATGACCAAATACAAGGTATGTTCAACATTCTTGTCTGTACTGTTGTGTTCTGTGTTCTTGTTTCAAAGCAAATCTTGATTTTTCCACTGTCTTGAGGTAGAAATAAATTCTAGTTTGTTACATGTAAATATGGCTTATGGTGAATGGAAGGTCTGTAACAAATGTTACTTATGAATTATTGATTACAGTGTTTTAGATATGAGGATCCATTATTGCTTTAAATCTTCTTGTAGCTCTTCCCTTTATGTTCAGTTTGCTGCCTGTGTTAACTCTTTGTGGTTATGTGTAATGACACACACTTCTTATATGGCTTAAATTCACTTGCAGTTTGCGATTGGCAATGATAAGGTTAATTTATTTAATTTCTTGTTTCTGAGGATCTAAAACTTCGCTTTACATTTGGGCCAGTAGAGGAATAGCTCCATCATGGTGTTCAAAATACCAGATGTTTGGAGAAGTTGAGATGAGCTGCAATATCTGTTCCCTTCGGTAGGGAAGAGATTGTTTTTTAATCTGAATCTGGAGAAGCAAAATGGTGGGAATTGCGAAAGGAGTATTCCCAGATACAAAAAGCAGGTGTCAGCTTGGTTAGTGCTTCAGGAACTCCTCCTTCCTCGGAATGGATGCCACTGGCTTGGCAAGTTTACAGTTACCTACTGAGCATCTTTGCTCTAAAACAACTTTGCCTTTACTAAGATCATAGTATATGAATTTTTACCTTTGTATAGAATTCTTGAAATTGTATTTGGATTATGTTATTAAATAAGAATTTAATTTCATGTATGCTTGTATTTGTGAAAAAAGAGAGGTGTGTGACATGCAGAAAAGTAAAGGGCTCACTGCTTTTGCCATCTGTTGTGTAATGTCATGTACCTCATGTGAATGACGGTTGTTCATTTGTCACTACTAGTCACTTTTTCTCCCTCTGATGATCTTGACTGTCAATGCTTAACTTTGGCATTTTGAATAACTACTTGCAAGCTGAGTTAAAGGTCTGAATAGTCCTGATAAGTAATGATTAACTCTACAGGCGGGTAACAAATCTGGTTTTCTGATAGCTTCTTAGAGCACATCTGAGATCTGTGTTAAATCTTTGTGCAGTGCCACTCTCCTAAAGCAGTAGGGCAGGTAAAAGGAGCTTTCTCCTCCCTTCCTCCAAAAAGCTATGAAATGTGTCTGTTCATGGTCAAACACTATACTTCCTGTGGCAGCTCATTGAAGTCACAATTTTATGTATAGTTTTGCTTTTCTCTATTCTTCTAAATTTAGTTCTTGTAATAACTGGTAGTACCTTGTAAATCTTTGATGCTTGCTTTTATTATGGGGAATGAGAGCAGGGGGAACAGCCCCAGCCTCAAAGCTGTTTGGTTTTAAAAAAGAAAATGCTAAATCAAAGTACAGCTGTACTTTCTGGATACAAATGGTACCTAGAGGTGCAGGATACCCCCTTTACTTCATTTAAAGGATATTCCAGATAAAATATTTAAATCCTTCTGGAAACCATGCCTTTTGTGCTATTATTAAAACTTCTGAAATCTAAAATACTTAGATTAAATACAGTCAGGGAGTATCACTTTGACCTTGTGCATTATAAACAGAGATTATTTTTGTAAGATGTAGAGTGTTTGTAGTCTTGTGCAGCTCAGTATTTAGATTAAAGACCCAAATCTGATGTGACTGTGCTTTATCAGCTTCATAGTTGTAAACAGGTACTTCTCACTTGAGGTCCTTTTTCCTTTAAGAAATACAATGCAATACTTCAATGAGTTAATATTAATAATATAGAACAGGTTAAGGCAGTGAGTAAAAATCTGTCTGAATTTTACCTGTAAGAACTAAAACCAAGTCCTAAGAAATACCGAGTTAAAATATTTGAAGAACGGTATTATTTGTTTGTGTGTTTAAGGTTTCCTGCTGCTAAAATTCCTGTGATTTTAATCTTGTCCTTTTTGAGAAGTCTTAGAATTCTGAAATGCTAAGTTTTGAAACATGGGCCATTATTCTTGTTTTTCATAGTCAATATGGTGCCCTCACTTGCAGTTAGTATTTGATTTTCATGTTATCTTCAGGCTTTTAGCTGCTGAGATTGTTGCTTTTAAACAGTGTTCATTTTGCTTTGGATTTCTGGAGAGTGGTACGTTACAGAATTTGAGATATCAAGAAACTCTTTTAATGAAGACAGAAAATCATTTTTAGTTTATATATATGTAAAGACCAGCAGTAACTCTTCTGGCTGCTTCTGACCCACCCAGCTGTTTGCAGTAGCTGTGACTAGGTGGTCTTTCACATCAAGAAAGTCAGAAATAGCCTTGACTTGGGCTCTTAGCCAAGATCAGCTCTCCCGAAATGTGTGGGGCTCCAGCGTAGCCATGTGAGGGCCAAATGCATTGTTGCCACAAAGTTGAGGTTTTTCAACTGCTTTACTCTTTCCATTAACTGTTTTTAGTGCTCGTTCTGCAGATGGACTTAAAGCAGTAGTCAGCAGTAGCTGGACTATGGAGAAGTCCAGAAGTCCATCAGTTAGGAAAAATTAAAACACAACATAGAGAAAATGAAGATGTAGAACTTGTAGGACAAGAACCATGCCATTATTTTGTCTTTCTCTAATACTGCTTTTCCCTCCCCTCCCTCCAAACCAATACATAGAAACATATAAACAAAGCAGTGACAAAGTTAATGAAAAGGAAATTATACATTTAATGAACTATGTCCATGTAGCAAAATTCATGTATTGTTAGAAATACACTCTGAGTAATTAGCAGTTATTATTCTAATGAAACTAATGGTTAAACTTCTATTGGGCAGCTTTCATGTACAGCTGAGACAGTGACTTGTACACTGGGGATTTTTTTTTTTTAATTTCAGTGTGGGATTTTTTAAGGCTGATATTTTAGTAAAAGGACTTGGATTTTGATACCATGCCCATTTGCTCAAGTATTTATTTTTCTATTTCCTGTCCCTTTAATTGCATATTAATAGTCTTGGCTCATGTGATTATGCAGTAATAATTTTCAGCAGTTAAAAATGTGATTTTATTTTTTTGCCTTTGCTTTTCATTATGCAGATAATAAATACATCAAATGGTAATTCCCTAGATCAAGGAAAAACAGGACTGTAAAGAGGGGATCAGTTTGGTAAGATCTTAGTTCAGTTGGAATGTTTTTCCCACAGACTTGTTTGTAATAGAGCCTGTTTTCTTTACTGAGAAGTATCAAGACACCTGTTTGGATTTTTAAATATGTGTGTTTTCTAGTTTATAAATGTTGGGTTTCTGCCTCAGAACTCAGCAGAGACTTTTATTCCAATAAAAAGTATATTTCATAGCAATAATTTTGCTTTTTTTCTTGGGCATTTCAGATTGGCATAGTAGAAGCATTGGATATAACTGCTTAAAAACATGGTTAAATGTTTTTTCCATTTCTTAGTAAGTGTAGAGTTTTTATTTTGAGGGTTATTCTGTTGAATCAAATGGAGTATACTTTTAAAAAAACCATGATTTTCTCTACCAGTTAAAGCATTCCTATACACTAATATTAGAAAACCAGCAACTCATTCATGTCAACCTTCACAAAACCCGAGGGGTCTGACCCAGAAGTCCAAGAGAATATTTACATAGAATTTAAGAGATAAGGCTTAAATTATTTTTCTTTACTGTATGAAACTACTGAACAGGAGCTTGCTTTTCTTTTTGAGTTTTCTAAACTGCTGGTAACTTGGTAATTGGCATTAGAACAAGTAGTTTAAAAGCATTCGTTTTAATGACTTCATTTGGTCATGAAATTAACCCAGGAAAGGATCTCTAGTAACCAGTAACATCACCTGCAGCCCAATCTGCATTTCAGAGAGCTTTTTGTGCAAACCAGGAGACTATTGTTCAGCAGAATAATCTTGCTTTTATCCTTAGCTTTATTTTAAGGTCTTTACATGTGAAACTATAAAATCTGGGCGTTGGTCTACAATATCTACAATCATTCCAGGCATTGATTCTTAGGATAAATAATTATGCATAACTTTGTTGTAGACACAGTTTATTGTAACAGTTATGCACTTGAGACTTTATTGTTTTACTCCCTAATGACAACAGTTAGTAGCAGATATTACTGCTGTGTATTATGTGCTAGTATTTGGGAGGGCAGTGTTAACCCATGAGACTGGGTATTTATTAAAAAAACACAGATTTAAAAATAAATCTAAAAGATAAGCTGGTAATAGTTTAGAAACAGTTAAGATTTTATGAAGGTAGAAACATTTTGTCAAATATGATGCTGTTCCTGGCAAGGTGTGTTTGAGAAACATATTTGTGTACACTGTTTACCTTAATTGCATGACCTCAGTGGGCTGATCATCCTGTTTTAGCTTTAACTCAGACTAGAAAGCAGATGTAGAATCAGAACCATGGTCTGTTAAGTAGAAAACACATTCTGTTCTTTACGCTTTTTAAAGCCTCCTTCCTTGTTTTTTAGTTCAGTGTAAATAAGTGTTTCTACCCTCAGTAATTCTTCCTGACTCTGTCACTGTGTGCCCTCTTTCCCGTTTTCTTCCTGTGTGGTGCACTGAGTGGAGGGCAGAAGCTTTGTTGGGGTGCAGGTGTGGTGGACAACTGCTGACACGTGGAGCTGGGAATACCAGCGTTGTACTGCTGGTGTAGGTGGTGTATCCCTGTCTCCCAGCAGCCAGTCTGATCCCATGATCTGGCAAGTGCTGGTTCCTGGCACCAGGCAGGTCTTTATTTAGTGCAACTCAAATTTAGAGGCAGCGTGAAGGTCATATGAGAAAAGGTTTCTCTCAAATCACAAGATTGGAGATTTGGATGTGCCAGTGGGGGAAGCCTGGGAGCCTTTAGCTTTGGGAAGAGAACATGCATGGCATTAACACTGGAAAACCAGTCTGTAGACGTGGTCTCTGCTTTCTTGTTGCAAGTAGAAGGAATAAAGCTGTGGAAGGTCTTGGAAGATTGATATCTGTGGAGATAATTAGCTACAATACACCTCAGAGAAAAAGAGCTGACTCCTCTTCCTTTGTGTATGAAAGTTGTCCAGTTATTGCCAAAAGTTACGTGAATGTTACAATATTGTGAGGGTCTGGTATTTTGAGAAATTCAATTAAATTATACAAAGTAGAGATCAGAACATGTGATAAAAAGCAAGGGAAAGATGACTTGGGATCTCTGACCTGTGCTGTCCCATTGATCTGTCATTCCAATAACCTGAACAGGAACTCTCTTGCCAAGGACTGGGCAGCCTGTGTTTGTTGGCTTGCTGGGTTTTGTTCAAGTGAAGCAGCATGTTTTAAACTGTGCAATTGGTGTTAGAGTGGTGTTGTGTGGGTGTTGGGGGTAGTAATGCAGTTTATTGCCTTTCATTAGGGAGCTGTATTAAATTTATTATTTAATGTGACATTTTTTCAATCAGTGTTCAGGTACAGTTCAACTGAGGAAGTCTTAAAGGAAGAGTATGAATTTTATTTGATTGAAACAGTTCTCTATGTCAAACAATTGTTAGCTTTAAACTGTCTTTGGATGACAGATACTAGATCCTTATCCCATCAAGGCAATGATATACCTTAATATCTGTGTGTGGAAAAACTCATAATAGTTTGGAGACTGTGAAAGCAGTAACATTTTCCTATTTCAATGTTACTACTAAGCTACACAGTTTATGGGCTGTTTACAAAGTAATTACAAATTTATGGCATAATAGAGGAAAACCTGACATGCAGACACACTTTTTTTAGGTTTTGTTCAAATCAATATATTGGTCAAAATAAAATTTAAAAAGTTCAAATACACTTACCTTAAACATTTAGATTTTCTTTTCTTTTTTTTTACACAACTTTTAAAAGTCATCTTATATATGAGATGCTGTGAGATAGGTATTCTGTGCAAACTGGAAAGGTTATAAAATTACTTCCGTTTATTTTCTTGGGTGATTTTTAAGCATCAGGAGTAGCATTCAGTTTTTAAGCAGGTTTCCAAGGGAAAGATGATTCCTTAGATCATGTTATATGGTCAGACTTGTTGCTGACAATTGTATTTATGTCTGTGAGGGTAACTTGCATTCCAAAGCTTGAACGTGTAGTAGTGTTGTCTGTGTTTGGTTTTGTTTGGGGTTATATATCTGTTCTAGTTGGCTTTTTGAACAAGTGCATCTTATGGTATTAGGTAATAGTAGAATAACTGCTGCATGTGAGTCTTCAAATACTATTTTTTATCTTATGACCTCCCAGGGGCAGGAGGGCTGACTGTGAACATGGTGGGATTGGAGAGATCTGAGGGTAATTTCAGCATCTCTTTTAGACAGTTGTTTAATGGCTTAAGAGATATCAGTGAGCTCATCCCGTATGTGTTGAATATGGATGATGTTTCCATTTCTGGCCTGCTAGTTCTGTGAAATCATTAGGACAGGATCTGCCTCTTGCTCTGGTACATCTTCAGCCCAGTGATCATTGAGAACTCTTTGTGTGCTGCTGTAATGCAAATAGCAAATTTTTGTTGACGTCACAATGAACTGCTTTGAATTTTACAGCTAAACCACTGCCACAAGTTTTGCACTGAATATCTTGATCTGGTGCATTCAGTAATATAATGGAAGCCTCAGTATTAATTTGCTGTATGGTCAGTAATGACATTCTTGATTTGGAGTATATTTTCCAAAACAGTATAAAAAGGGTAGGATAAAATTAAATGGATTGATTTAACCAGAAATTTAAAGAGGGATTTTTTTTTTTTTTTGTGCTGCATTGCTATCCCTCAAACATGCAGCACCATCTCCTTTTACCTGAGACTTGCTTTGGTGATTTCCCCTTGATTTCAGCTCTTCTCTCATTCCTTCCTCCTAAGCTTGCATTTCATTCTTCCTGTGCCTTGGCATCTGAACTTGTTTGCATTGTCTCCTTCACTCCAGACCAGCCCAGTTTATAATTTCAGAGTTGGAAATCAAGAAATTTGGCCTTATGGAACTGAAAAAATGTTAAAATGACAATAAAAGCAGTTTTTGGTGACATGTCATAGCAGGAATCCTAAATTTACATTTTTCAATTGAAATAGACCTCAAATTCTATCAAATCCCACAAAGTCTGAGATGTGGTCATTTTGAGGTAATGCCTCTTGGATTATCTGGAAAGATCACCTTTGTCTCCCTTGTCTTACCCTTGGAATTTAATGTGATTTGTCCTGGGACTGAAAGTTTTCATTGCCAGGTGTGTTTCCAAGGAGCTCTCAAGGTGTAGAGCTTGATATGTATCAATATACTCATTTTATATATATTCATGTTTATATGAATTTCTAGTCAATATGAACTGTCATTAAGAAGGAAAAATTACAGGATGGAATACAGAAATTGTGTGGCTGTTAATTTAGCAATGCACACTAGTATCTGGTGGTTCAGTGCTGTAAGCTTAATCATTTAATTTTTAAACCTGCTCAAAACTCTCAATGAGTGTTTTATTGGGATGCAGCCTTTGTGTTACCTGATCATTTCTGCTACTTAGATTGTAAAAAAAGTAATTTTTTTAGTTTTACACATTTTCTTTGCTGTTGTGCACAGGGTCAGCTTTACCTGCTGGTGACAGACCAGGGCTTTCTTACAGAAGAGAAGGTTGTCTGGGAAAGCTTGCACAATGTGGATGGGGACGGGAATTTCTGTGACTCTGAATTCCACCTACGGCCTCCATCAGACCCTGAGACTGTCTACAGAGGGCAGCAGGATCAAATAGATCAGGTGCTGCCTTTGTTGTATTTCTCTGTTTGCTTGTGACTATATATAACAATCAGTACTTATTTTTAGCCACAGGTGTGTACTCATGGTACTCATGCATATATGAGACTATAAAAAGTCCTTTAGATAGTGAAGTTGGGGTTCTCCAAAGTGCTACTCGATGTGGTTTTGAGGGAGAAAAAGTAAGACCAACAGAATAGTTTGGAAAATTATTTTAATCTCTTGGAATGCACTTCTGCAAAAAAACTTGGGTGAAATGTCACATCTGCCTTGTATGTGGGAACAGAACCAGCCTGTGGAACTTGTCCTTCACAACAAACACATTTCAGCTCATTAATGTTGTCATAACTGACCTTTGCCTTCTGATGCCCACTGGCTGAACGCAGGACAAACCCCAGAGCAAACTATGTGTCATGGTGGGTGTTTGTTACTCTGATTGAGGTCCAGAGGTGACAAAAGTCATGTCTGAGGTGGGGCTGAGTTGTCCCAGTTAATGCACAAGTGCCTGGCAACACCAAGCTCCTCGGAATTCTTACATTCTGAACAAGCATAAGTTTATAATTATCACCATTAATGTTTTTTAAATACTGGGGGGGGGGGGAATTAATAAGATGCTTATTAATAAATTCAAGCACTGCATCTGTCTTGCAGAATAAAAGTCTGGGAGAGATAACAGGGCTGGTAATATTTTGAGTTGGTTATATGCAAAACTACACTTTATTTTCTCATCCGCTGAGGGGTTGGTATTCCTAATGTATTCCCAACATTTTTCGGTGGAGTGTGGACAGATACTCCATCAAGCATAATCAGAGTGTTAATTAGAGAAAATTACCAAGTGACAGCTTCAAAATGTTCTTCCTAGAACTGGTATGAGCTGACATTCTATCTTCTGCTGCTGTTCAGGTAATGGAATATAAACCTGAAAGCACATTTTTTTAATAAGCTTTTGTGCTTTCTGTGCTGGGATGTTGGCACTGTGAGAGGAGATATTAAAGCAGCTGTTGTCAGCCTTTCTGCAGTTGAAGTTATGGAAAGGTTCTGAAACAAATTCCTGTTTTCCATTTGAAGATAAGGCTGGGAGAAGAGGGATGGTGCTGTGTAGCAGCACATGATGAAAATTTCACTTGATGTGACTTGATTCTTTTCTGTGTGAAAGAGCATTAATAACCAAATTTCCTGTTTAGGATTATCTGATGGCATTGTCTCTACAACAAGAGCAGCAAAGTCAAGAGATTAACTGGGAACAAATCCCAGAAGGAATCAGTGACCTCGAGCTAGCCAAGAAGCTCCAGGAAGAGGAGGACAGGAGAGCTTCTCAGTACTATCAGGAACAAGAACAAGCAGCTGCTCAGGTCCAGGTGAGAAAGCAGCATTACAGAATATGATCATGAATTTTAGAGAGTATTAACTTAATTGCACAGACACAACCTGTGTTTGTCCGTGTTTCAGCCTGGTGAGACTGTTTACATCCTCACAGCAAATGACAAGGTGATACAGGAGTCTTTAGGAACGTGCTATGACTGTTGCAGTTTGCATGGAGTTAGAGCAGCTGCTGACACTTCAATACTTAAAAGCTGGCCTAACCTTCTAAACTGGGGTTTCATTCATTTCATTCAAATTGGAGCAATGGATGAGTTAATGTGTAAGGTTACAAAGGTGGTGTTAGCTGGTATTTTACATTAGTTGTAAAAGAGCATTCAAATAAGAATTTGTTGATAGTAGTTTCGGCTTTGTCTCTGTCTTGCAGAAGTTTGTTGCTGTACATTTTTAGGTGATTCTGTCTGATATCATGTGAATCTCTTCAGTCATTTCAAATTAGGCAGTTAACAGTTTCTCCCAGTACACCTTTCTGTTCCATACCCACCATAAGCAGCTGATTTCGAGATGCTTTGAAAATGTGAGTCATGCAAATGTATCTACAAAAATGCAATTGAACTGAATCTTCTGTGCAAGAGGCAATGTTTAAGTTGGTGTTCTGGATTCAGGGAGTTCTTAACTGAAGACTCTTAGAACTGCTTATGTTTACAAATATGTAAGAAATAATGTGTATGAAGGCTGAATCTTTGGCCTGGAGCAATTCAGAACCATTATCTGCATGAAACAAGAATTTTGACAGTTAAAAGTTGTGTTATTTCCACTGCTTGTTGCTTTAATACAACCATGAGTAGCTGCTTCTAAGACACAGATTCACTACTGCTGGTTGAAAAAAGGTAGAAAGAACTGAAGAACCTGCTTAACAGGTTGCTGCTCATTTGCAGCTATGAATGGATAATAGCTGGAATAGATGATGAATTAACAAAACTTACGTTGCCTTTGTATACCCATCCCCTTGCCAAGTTCTTAATGAGTTCCTAGTCACAAAAAGCTGCTGTTTTGCCCTATATGGCTGTCGCAACCAACACTTGGACTCTGCAAATTCTGAAATGTGGATTACGTTCTTGTAAAAGAAGTCAGGGAAAAATTCCAGTACAGTAACACAGAAGTGCCAGAAGATGCTTGAAGCCGTATTTTATTATGGTGACAACATCTAAATATGTGGACACAACAGAAGGGACACACAGGCCTTGAAATGTATTTCCAGCTGACTTAATTTTTTAGAACTCAGCAATTTTTGTGGAGGTTCTGCAGTATTTATACAGAAAGCCCTTACCTCAGTTCTGCTGGTTTGCATGATATTTAAACTTCTGGTTGTGAACTTGGACACACAGTAACACTTCAGGCTGTATCTGCAATGATGTGTTTATTCAGTTTTATTTTCCCCCACAGCAGCAGGTGCAAGGTGCTGCTTCTCCAGCCAGCGCGAGACAATCCGGGAGTAACGAACGCAAACGGAAAGAGCCTCGGGAGAAGGAGAAGGAAAAGGAGAAGAATAGCTGTGTTCTCCTGTAACAGAACATGGATTCAGTCTGGAGCCAAGTGCATGTCCTCAGAAGCAAAAACAAGGAGTACAAAGGAAGACAAACCTGTTACACGCCGCCTGTGCCTGATTACCCCATGGATTTCGTTCCTGTTCCAAGAGGATGGATGACTTTGTTACAATCACACAGACTTCCTTCAAAGTCAGAGTGCGAGCTGCCCACGAGGGAATTCCAAATCACAGTTGGACGCAGCTGTGCTTTGAGTTAGTCATACAAATACTGCACCTTGTAGCTGAACACACCAATCATGGCAAGTCCTGTGTCCCAGTGACATCCATTCCTGTCCATCAGTCAGTAAGCTATCTTCTCTTCTACACCAAACAAGGGAGGTCATTCATTTTGGGCAGGGCTTTTCCCTGAAGTCTGTACATGAGCACAACAGAATTCTGTGTTATTTTCCTGGTATGAGGCTGTACCTTAGCTGGGTACAGCCTTCATGACACAAGAGCCCAAGTAACAGCTGGGCACTGCCTCCTCGGTGTGTCCAGGTTTCTTTGCTTCTGGATCTGGTATGTTCTTCTTCTGAACCCAGATTTATACTGTGTTACTGCTCTCACTGCATCTCCTGGCCAGCTTTCTCGCCCCAAGAGTATGTGACTTGATAGGCATCATACAAAAATTGTCATATAAAAATGGGGCATTTATTAATAAGCAAGATGAATATTGTTTGCTTTTCTTGCAATTACAAACTGGGTATGGCAACTCAGATGTTATCAGGGTTAAACAAGTAATTTTATAGGTAACTTCTTTTTCTTTTATAATTTTTTTCTCTGTAGGTAAACTGGACCAGATAAGCTTTTATTTATTGACCTCTCCATATGATAGATGAATGATGAGAGGAAACTAAGGTCTATAATAATCCTTATATTCTATATAAGAATGCAGAGTTAAAATAACTAACTATCTGCCTTTTTTCCAGAAGTACCTTGAACTTTAACATGACGTTAAGGTGTCCACTTGTGTATTTCAGCAAGTGCACTGTAGTTAAAAACACACTTTTTTTGTTTGTTTTATAAATCATGTATTCTTAAAATAAGCACACTTCTGAAGGGTGAGAGAGGAGTGAAGCTGCTCTCTAAGATGGGTTGGAAGGTGGTCAGGTGTAGTATTTTGGTTTTTAAATCACTAATTTAGAATTTTTGGAAACCAGATTTTTCTAATTTATGGGGAACCAAATAAACATGTTGTGTCTTGTAGTATTTATAGAATGCAGAAACCGAACACTTGATGAATTTTGAGGGAACCACAAACCTTCCTCCACTTCCATGAAATCAGTAACAATTACCTTCTTGGTGAACCTTTTGATAAAAATTTCTATTTAGCAATATGTAGATACTTTTGAAAAAGGCTGCTTCTCCTGGGCCAGTTGTGTTCATGCTCTCAGCCTTAGCACTCATACACAGGAACCTGGGAAAGCCAAGGCAGCCAGGTGGAATGGGACATTCCTGGTTTCAGGAGTCTGGAGAGTGTCCCTTGGAAGAGGGTGTCTAATGCAGGTCCACCAGTAAAAAGCTGTTTTAAAATGATTTCCAGCAGACTTGCTCTGTGATGGCAACCAGTCATCACACAAATCTTTTATCCACCCAGAAGGAAAATTAGATAAAGGAAGAATGTCTTATTAACTAAAGGGCCAATTTTTATCACTTTTCTTC